AGGATTAGGGGGAAGGCTTAACCCATTCATAAACCTAGCAGTTTCTCTGAAACTGCTAGGTTTATGAAACAATGGGTTAATCCTAGCTGGACCTGGCACCCAGACCACTTCATTAAGCTGAAGTGGTCTGGGTGCCTAGAGTGGTCCTTTAACCGTTTCTCTGTACCTCTGATCAGCTTTTACACTGTATATACTGAGTTAGTACCAGATAGAACCTTTCTAGCTGGTACCTTACATTATGATTACAAAAGATACTACATGTATCCTGTATGTGTCCAAAGACGTTATGCACTCTGTTTTAACATTATATTGTATGACATTATAAGGCTTATTTAAGCCCCTTGCGATCTTGCCCTGCACAATATGCTCAATATGCTGGCTTTAGGTACCCAGCTGCCTCTAAGCTTCTAATACATAGATTTGCTATTTCCTTTGTATATAGTTATCTCTTCAAGTTGCCCAGCCTGCGGCTCCTCATGGCTCTGACTATAACACCAACCCCCTATGCTCGGTACTACACTTTTTGCAGACCAGTAATATGTCCCCCTTCTATAATTTCAGTACAGATGTGTACATACTTCCATTATGCACGGTTCACCGCGCTCTTATGTTGCCATTTATGTTGCACGCACTGAGACTTAGTCTCCTATCTATCTATTATTGGCATGGTTATTTCTCGTGTATTCCGTTTTCTGTACTCCCTCGACCTTTGGCTATTCCTTTGACTACTCTTTGACATTGAGCCCGGCCACCCTAAGGTCCGGTATACATCTTTCTGGGTTACTCTCTGCGTGAAGGGGTCACTGTCATGACAATAATAATTCTAGTCAGTAATTAAGAACCATTTTCTTTTTCTATATTGTCAGATGTTATTCTGGACAAATCATTATCAAAATATATTTAATCAATTCTGTGCATCATACCTCATTAAGAGGTTCAGCTATGTTTTCTTTAGAATGACATGATTGCATCTAGAAGCATCTTCCTCAGCATTATACCTTATTTCTTGCTTACAACACACAAAATGAAGTGGATTTAGATAAGATCAAAATATATTTCTGCAAGATACATCCAAAAACCCAATCTTTAATTGAAATCCCAGACGAGCCCTCATTTATGCCTGGACTTCTATTATAAAACACAATTGTGCATTTATCACAATAGTTAAGGTAACATGTCTAGGAAAAATGCAGAAATATATAACAAAATTATTGATTTATGTCTGATTAAAAAATAGTCTCAGATCTATATGTTAGAGTGAAATATAAAGGGCTAAATTAAATAGTTTTAAAGAAAAAAGACAAGCTGAGGAAAAAAAACGTTTGTAATGCACTTTTTAATCGGACCCCACCAATTCCTAGGATGTACCACCCGAGGTGTGGGTCTACCACCTCAGAGAGGGATCGTCACTGAGACCGGTCTATATCTCCTATATCTCCTCCAGATGGTCTAAGTTGGGCAAGCCAAACCCCTCTGCCTGCTCTGCTTCTTCCAGACATGTGTCAACCCTCTGCCTGCTCTTCTTATTCCAGGTAGGTATCAACACTGTGTATATTGTATGTTCTCCACTAATTGTACAGCGCTGCAGAATCTGTTGGCGCTTTATAAATACCAGTAATGAGAATAATAACCTCTCTGCCTACTCTCCTTCTTCCAGGCAGATATTGATGCCTCTGCTTTCTCTTCTATTTCCAGATAGATACTGATCCCTGTGCCTGCTCTCCTTCTTTCAGGAAGGTACTGACCACTCTACCTTCTTTCCTTCTTTGCCTGCTCCACTTTTCCCAGGTAGATATTGACCCCTCTACCTGATCTCCTACTTTAAGGTGACCTAGGTGATTGCTACTGTTCTTTGTGAGGGTCTTACTTGAGTGCCTACCCTGCCAAATATACTGATTGTGGAGGTGGCATCACAGCTGGTATCTCACTGTGCTTTTCATACACAGATCTCTCATGTGCCCTATAGTGATGCTGGCAGCCTGGATGTGACATCCCCAGCCCCTTGCACTACAAGGTGCAGATTGGAGTTGTGCAGGTAGAGCACATTCATCTCAGGAGAACCACTGGACCCCAGAAAGAGTGTCCACCCCAGCCCTCACAAGCAAAGGTAGGGAGATTTGGTAGATCTCTTAGAAAAACAGTAAACAAAAATAGTGTTTGTTTGTGAATGTGTGTATGTCTGTGATTATGACATATGTGTTTAAGTGTATGTTTTTGTGTTTCTGACTGTGTATGTATGTGTGCATGAGAATGTGAATGCTTAGTAGATAGCTCCCTAGTAAGGTATCTATAAATATGGCAATCTCAAATTAAGATACAGAATTAGGGAGTTATCTACTTAATAGTTGAAATCTCGAAGTTAAGAAAAGAGTGTCTCTTAATTTTGATCTTTCAGGTATTTATTAGGTAATATAAAAGATAAAAAGAGAGAACAGCCGATAATGCAGTATGTATGATTCAAATGAAATAAAATTCGAATAATGGTAGCGAACTCACAATTTCTAAGAGCTTCTGTCCAGCTCTAGGGTAAAGCGCACACAGCGGTATAATCCCCGATTATGGGATGTATGGTGAGTGTCAGTTCGTCAGAGGTATCCAAAACTCAAAGAGAACAGAAACAACCAGATAGTGCTCTCTGTATGAATATATATCGTAGGGAAAAAATGAAAACGTACTTACAAGTACAGAGCAGGCCAACTGCTCTTTGATGCCAGCGCTGGTGGAATAATCCCCACCTAGGATTTCTTTGGCTGCCAGGAACTTGTAGGAATGATGTTAAAATCAAAATAAAATATATATAAAATATGTATATAAATAGCCAGGATAAATGTATAAATAAAGATGATTGGAACTATCAAGTAACCAAAAACTTTAATATTTATTATACAAAATTATATTTCCATAGCGCGTTTCGTCTAACAGACTTTATCAAATGGAATGCAATACAATACCTGGCAGATAGTGTTTATATAGACATAGTTAAATTCAAAATTGGCGCCAAAATGTTTTGGCCAATCAGAGTAAAGATACTTTTTTACATATCAAATTGACAATATTAGATTGTTTACAGATAGTACATCGTTTGATAGGGCATATTCAGTGTTTTTTTTATTAAAAATGAGGGTAGAAAGGGTTGTAAAATCACAGAGACATTCTGTCACGTGATTTGCGGCATTTCTGGGTTTCGGAGGTGTAGCCGCAAAGCCTTATGGGTCCTGTAGTTCCCCCATTCGGCAGCCTTATGATAAAGGTTAAAAAAAAAAAAAATATCAGAATATGCATTATTATACAATGTATGGGTAATTAATAGTGAGGCATATCATATTGGGTGGAATTAACCTAAAAACGAGGGTGGGAAAACTCTGGGTTTCGGAAGTATAGCCGCAATGCCTCATGCCCTCTTGCCCTTTACTGAAACTAAAGCATATAAACAAAACTCTATATTGATTCAAAACAAAATCGAAAAAGTAGAAGTCGACACAAAACACTTGAAAATTAAGAAATACATTAGAGATAAAACTGACCACTCCAACAAACAAGTTAGAACTTACCATCTTAGAAAGAAATACACCTCTGAAAACTATACCTCTAGGACTAACTATCACGATCAAAGGAATCATACAAATAATTACTCCAACAATAACACATCACACTACCAACCCCCTAAATATCAAAATTACGGTACACGTAAGCCCCACTATCAATCCCCACTAAGAACTAGGTCCTCAAATACCTTAACTCAACAATATCACGTTTCCTCAAAATTGCCATATCAAAATAACACTAACACGTACCAACATAAACAAAGAAAACCCTCTCACTATAACTACAAATCTATACCTCAATCTCCGAAATATCACAACTCCTCTGGTTTCAATTTTTCACCTAAACCACAAAGATCACAATATACTAATGACCACAATGAATATTCTAACTATTCCAAATCCTCCACTATCCCTAGTCACCTAAACAGATATCAACTACTGTCAGTTGATTCCGACTTCGATAATGAAGATCATTTTTTAGAAATCCGTACTCACCAACCCTCACTAGCCAAAACACCGCACCCATCACGTTCCCAAAAAAGGATTCTAAGCCTAGAGGAAGACAAAGTGGAAGACGGGAAAAAAAGAGAGAGGCTAGAAAGACCATAATACCCCCCAACAACGTTTGTAGTGGCATTTTTAATCTCTCCCACAAAATTTTATCAGATGCACAATTGTCGGTTCTCAATAAAGGTTTAAAATTTGCCCCCACATCCTCTTTTAATTCTTTTCAGGCCTTTCTAGATGTAAACAAATTTGTTCGAAAAGCGACACAAAAAATATTTTTTATTGGTAAAAATGATGAAGGACCAGTTTCATCTACAATACCTGTAATAGATAAAGGTCCCTTTATAAATACACACCTCAAAGAAAAATCTAAATTTTATCCATCTCACTGTAAATCGGCTCCTCTTACTCTATTTGAAAAACTTGCTCAAAAAGATTTTGAAAAAATCAAATATAGTAAATATGATTCCAATAACATTACAACAAGAGAAAAAAGGGCGATTAAAGAGCTTCAGATGGATCAAGAGATTGTAATAAAACCAGCTGATAAAGGCGGAGGAGTAGTTATCCAATCTAGTAAGATGTATATAGAAGAGGCCCAAAGACAACTAAATGATATAAATATATACGAAAAACTTCCATCAGATCCAACAAAGAATATACAAGTCATTTTATCCAATTTTTTAAAAGGTTTTAACTTCATATTAGTTACTTTTGACGTACAATCCCTTTATACCATCATTCCCCACGATATAGGACAGTGATGGCGAACCTTTTTGAGCCCGAGTGCCCAAACCGTAATACATGCCAATTTTTTTTTCCTCAAAGTGCCAAAACGGCAATTAAACCTGAATACTGAGGTTTAAGTTTAGAAAAAACAACTCATACAGTTGTCCGAACTAATTAACATCTCTGTGTGTGTATTAAGCAGTTTGTGTGTGTGCTCGGCAGTCTGTCTGTGTGTATTTAGCAGTCTGTCTGTGTGAATACACACACAGACTGCTGAGTACAGTCTGCTGAATACACACACAGACTGCCGAGTACACACACACACACACACTGCTAAATACACACACACACACACACACACACATTCCTAAATACACACACACACTGCTGAGTACACACACACATACTGCTGAGTACACACACACACAGACTGCTGAGTGTACACACACACACACAGACTGCTGAGTGTACACACACAGACTGCTGAGTGTACACACACAGACTGCTGAGTGTACACACACACAGAGACTGCTGAGTGTACACACACACACTGAGTGTACACACGACTGCTGAGTGTACACACACAGACTGCTGAGTGTACACACACAGACTGCTGAGTGTACACACACACACAGAGACTGCTGAGTGTACACACACACAGAGACTGCTGAGTGTACACACACACACAGAGACTGCTGAGTGTACACACACACACAGACTGCTGAGTGTACACACACACACAGACTGCTGAGTGTACACACACACAGACTGCTGAGTGTACACACACTGCATTGAGGGGTACAGTGTATGTGTTTGTGTGTGTGTGGGGTTATGTGTGTGTGTGGGGTGATGTGTGGGTGGGTTGATGTGTGTGTTTGTGTGTGTGTGTGTGGGGGGGGTGTGTGGGGTGATTTTTTTTTCTCCCATCTCTCCCTCAGTTCCCCCCCCATCTCTCCCTCAGTTCCCCCCCATCTCTCCCTCAGTTCCCTCAGTTCCCCCCCATCTCTCCCTCAGTTCCCCATCTCTCCAGTTTCCCCAATACCTCTCCTTCAGTCCCCATCTCTCCTTCCGGTTCCACCACCCATCTCTCCTTCAGTTTCCCCACCCATCCCTCTCCTTCGGTTTCCCCACCATCTCTCCTTCAGTTTCCCCACCCATCTCTCCTTCAGTTTCCCCATCTCTCCTTCGGTTTTCCCCATCTCCTTCGGTTCCCATCCTCTCCTTCAGTTTCCCATATATCTCTCCTTCAGTTCCATATATCTCTCCCTCAGTTTTCATCCCCCTCCCTCCTTGAGCTCCTACCTTGTAGCGTGGCTGAGCGCACCGCGGAGCTCAGTTTCCTGTACCCAGCTGACAGGAAGTGCTCTCTGAGCACTTCATTTCTGTCCTCCCAGGTACACGAAACATACCGCGGCGCGCTCGGCCACACTAGACAGAGTGCCTGGCAGGAGGGAGCGCTGTGCGCTATGCGCTCACCTCCTGCCGGTCACTCCGGCTTTGCGCCCACCGGGCCGGTGCGCCCTAAGGTGGCCACTTGTGCCGCCTTATGGATGCGCCGGCGGAGCGCACCCTCCCTCCGGCGACCTATGGCCGCGTGCCCACAGAGGGGGCTCAGCGTGCCACCTGTGGCACGCGTGCCATAGGTTCGCCATCACTGCTCTAAAGACTACTCTTACTACTCATCGGCCACAAAAACATACTCCAGAATAGACATGCTCTTTCTCCACCACAGGTTTCTACAACTAATACAGAACTGCCACTATGGCCCTATCACGTGGTCGGACCACGCACCCCTGTCTCTGACCATTCAAATACCCTCCCTCCCTGTACACGCCTTCCAATGGAAATTTAACAATCAACTACTAAACAACCCAACTATTACTGCCAAAGTCTCAGAGGCCCTCCAACATTACTTCACTGACAACACTAATTTCTATAGATGCGGAGAAGGCCTTTGACAGGGTGGACTGGTCCCTTCTTCTGACAACTTTAGAGCACATGGGGTTTGGACCCACGTGGCTCAGGTAGATGAAAGCGCTCTATTCCAATCCCATGGCCAGTGGCGTACATACCAGGGTCGCAGGGGTAGACCCGGTATGTACCCACAGGGCCAGCCTCTTCTCCTGGGGTATCCTGGTTTTGTGCTGCACTAGGCAGGACAAAACTCAGGCACCCACCGCGCCACCCCTACCCGCGCAACCGCCACCCAACCTTCCCCCCTGCTCCGCCTTCTAAATACACACACACACATTCACTGACAGATACGCATTCACTAGCTAACAGAAACACACACTCACTAACAGACACACACTCACACACTCAGACACACACTCACTCACAGGCAAACACACACACACACACACTAACAGGCAAACACACACACTAACAGACATCCACACTAACAGACATCCACACTAACAGACACACACTAACACTAACATACATACACTAACATTAACATACACACTAACACTAACAGACACACACTAACACTAACAGACACACACTAACACTAACAGACACACACTAACAGACACACACACACACTAACATACACACACACCAACACACACACACCAACAGACATCCACACACACACACTAACACACATTACTGACACACACCACATACACACACACACTAACATACACACACCAACATACACACACTAACACTAACATACATACACACTAACATACACACACTAACACTAACATACATACACACTAACATACACACTAACAGACATCCACACACACACTAGCAGACATACACACACTCACTAGTGTTTTATTTTTATTTTTTTATTTAACCCCCCCCAGCCTCCTTACCTTTGGTAATGCTGGGGGGGGTTCTTCCTCTCCCTGGGGTCCAGTGGCTGCGCTGGGCGGGCGGCCGCCCGCCGAGGGAGCTCTTCCCCTGAGCGCTCTGCTCAGCTCCCTCGCGCGCCGCCAGCAGAGTGAGGCTGGGAGCCGGAATATGACGTCATCAACCCGGCTCCCAGCC